TCTTTCTTTCTTTCTTTCTTTCTTTCTTTCTTTCTTTCTTTCTTTCTGTACATACATACATACAAAAGGTCTGCCTGCCTTCCTGCCTACCAACCTACCTGCCTGCCTGCCTGCCTGTCTTTCAGTCTACTTATCTGCCTACCTACCTATCTACCAATATAGATCTATCTATCTACCAACCTACCTATCCATACATTCATCCAAAAGGTCTGCCTGGCTACCTACCTACCTACCTATGTCTCTGTCTCTCTCTCTCTCTCTCTATATATATATATATATCTATCTATCTATCTATCTATCTATCTATCTATATATATATCTATCTATATATATATATATATGTATGTATGTATGTTTTCTGAGGTTCTCGCGGGTATTTGTATGTGGATCTTTGGTTGTTCGGGTTTTCTCCCGCGTAAGTTTCGAAGTATCTAGGCAGAGTGAGAAGCAAGAGCCAAAGACAGAAGCCTGAAGATGATGAATGAGACTTCATCGAAACGTTGCCTAGATACTTCGAAACTTACGCGGGAGAAAACCCGAACAACCAAAGAGATAGATATAGATATAGATATAGATATCTGATCTATCCATCCATCCATCCATGTTCGAAGGAAACATGGAAAAGTAGAGCAAAGCCAGTCTGGAAGGGAAGGAGGGAGGGAGGGGGAGAGAGAGAGAGAGACCTGATGCATCGGATTGAAATGAGGCCTAGTTTAGACTGAGGCCCTTTTCCACATTGAAACCTCTTTGGCTTCTAGTAAAGGTTTTGTGGACGAAACATGGTCAAGAGTATCAGGAAGCTCTCACATTTTGTTGAGGCTTTAAACAGGATCCATTGGACCAGGTCTCCACCCTAAAAAATTACTTTTCCCCAATGTATTACAGTGCCAATTCTGAAGGCAAAACCAAAATGTTCTGGTAAATTACAAGGAGAGCACACACACACACACACACACACACACACACACACACACACACACACACACTCCCTTCTAACCCTGCTGGAGCAGGTGATTGGACTAGAATAGATATCTCATTATCTTTCTCCTCCCTCCCTCCTTCTTTATTTCTTTTTCTTTCTGTCCCTACCTTCCATCCCCCCCCTCTTTCTTTGTCCCTTTTTATTTCTTTCCCTTTTCTCTTTCTTCCTTCTCTCTCTCTCTCTCTCTCTTTTCTCTCTTTCCCTCTCTCAGGGAAAGAGTCACCCCATTGACTTGACTTGCTTGGGCAGGTCCCTCCAGTGCAGTGGGCTCAGTGGGGTGGACCTGCAGGTCCGGCACCTAGAATGCGGCAGTGGCGGCATGTTTGAAAAGTAGAGCAAAGCCAGAGGTCTGTATTTTTTGCTGCAAAGAATCACAAAAGCTTCTGGGTTGTGCACAAGAAGGGACACACATGTCAGTGCAATTCAGCAACATAAAATAATGAGATACAAATAAAACAAATCAACAAGAATCAGCAAAGCATCTCTGATTAGGTTTTATTCACTGCTAGAATCTAATCAGAGATGCTTTGCCGATTCTAGTCCAATTACCTTGCTCCAGCAGGGTTAGAAGGGAGTGTGTGTGTATGTGTGTGCATGGCTGTCAAAACTCCAAAAACAGGTCAAGTATTTCTGGGGAGGCCAGTCATAAATTAGAACACTTGCTAAACAACCGGCCATTAAGTGAGGACCACTTGTTTGCCAGTCACCTGGTCATGCCTACCCAGTCATGTGACCACCAAACCACACCTACCCGGTCACGTGACCAAGCCATGCCCACCCAGTCACATGACCAGCAGGCCACACCCACAAATTAGGCCACACCCACAGAAATTTGAATCCCACCCCTGGGTTGGGAGCATCGAGGATGAGTTTGTAGCAGCAAGGGGGGGGTGGACTGAAAAAGTTTGGGAACCACTGCTCTGTAGAATGTTTTTTTTTTTTAAATTTCTGCTGAATGGAGTAGAAGAGGTTTCAAGTCATACAACCAGACTTCAGCCCACAATTTGTCTCTCTCCCTTACTTTTCTGATAGTTGTAAGATAACGTTGAAGATGCAATCAGGTGAGAAGAATGCATCTACTCCTGCTTACCATTTTAAAGCTGTAGAGGAAGAATAGTCCCTTCACTACTACTCTTATTCCTATTAATTGCTAGGAAAAAGACATAGATTTTATCTTGGAGCAGCAGGAGAAAGTTAAGTAACATAGGACAAAGAGTGAGTATTGGATGATGGCACAATATTCTTTGCAAAAAGAAGGGAGTAGAAGGTAGAACAAATGCTGCAAAACCTGACAATAGCTTTAGAAAAGACCCCACAAGCTTATATCCAAGTCTTCTAGCAAAGAGTTTGGGCACTGTAAGTTGTGCATGTTTGGTTTGAATTAATGAAAATATGATTTTTATGTTTAAAAAAAACCCTTTAGCAGAATAAAACCAGTTTACAATGGGCTGCTGCATATTATTTTGACCTAATTGGTGCTTCAGTTTTAATAAATCTTGTCACACTCTGAGTCCTAGAAAGACCATAGTGGCAAACTACTTCCGAAAAATATTGCTAAAAACTACTGAATTGGTGTGAATCACCATGAGGAAAAACGGACTTAAAGGCAACACCCCCTCTGAAAAAGGCTGTGACACTTTCATATATTCTTTAATAGTAATAAGGACATCTGTATAATTTATAGAATTAGTGGCACTGTATCCCTTGGACCTTCTGTGTATGTGTGTTGTCTACTAAAACAGATACAATTTCTGTACAGTACTTCTACTTCCAGTTTATTTCAGAATAGAACCATCTAAAGTTCTCAAACATAGATAGGCAGCAGACTAATGATATATCAAATAGCTCACGCGAGGCCTCTGAATTGGTAAGAAATCCAACAAAGAATTTTGGATTAGTTGGATCTTAGTCTGAGCAGGTAGACCAGAGTTTGTCACTAGGAGGAGTGTGATTTTTGATTTTGAAACCCATGGATTTGGAGAATATACCTTGTTCTGCGAATGTACAAGGGTTATTGGGGGTAGGGGAAACATCTACAAGGTTACAGTCATCTCACTGCTGTTAGAATATAGCATTCCCTTTTACAGATGAGACATTACTTTCCTAGATTTGAATATCAACTTGACCTATTCTTGCTTCAGTAACTGCATTTGTTTCCTCTTGCTTTGATGCAAAGATATATTAAGTGTTAATTACATAGACACATCAAGCTTTAACCTTTTTAAATAGCAACAAATGAATTTTGATCTGAGTCGGGACTGGAAGATGATTCACTGAAACCTCACTGAATTTCTTTCTGTTATTTCAGTAAGTGGTGATGGGTTCAAAATAGTGGCCAAATAAATTTCTGCCCAGTGTTTTATTATTTGGAAAGTCTTCTGTCTCTTCTTTATCTTTGCCAGATAAACTTTAAAAGAAAAACAGGTACCAAGAAAAGAAAAATAATGGTGTCCATTGGTGTTTATACCACAACTGGCTATTGCTGAAAATATTACTGATGCTGATTTCTTTTTGCTAGGTTATTTATTCTTAGGCCAGCTATTTAAATGCTCTCCTTAATATATTTTGATTTATTTAATAATATTGTCTGTGTGATTCTAACATGCATAGTAGTGAATCCTGATTAAACCCAGAAATCATGGTTTTCAAATATTTTTATAAACTCCTATATATTTTTTCTTTCCACATAGGTTTCCCCGGGGCAGCTTACAAAAAAGTATAGTTCATGTTCAACTATATTTATAGATGACAGCACAGTCAGCCAACCTAATCTTAGGAGCACAATAAAATGGTATGTATCACTTTATGTGTGGTTATATTGGATTCAGCTCACTTGAATCTATGAAATCCAAGAAAAATGCATACCAAATCTAGAGGAAGTGATAAATCAGTATATGCTGAAGCAGATTCCCCGCCTCTTATTCTCAGTATTGGTAGAGCAACATCTATATGCTACTGTCAATTTGAGATATTTAACATAGAGCAATACATTGGCTGAAATTCCATACATATCCCCAGTTTTAGGGCAGGGTTTATTAGCTCATAGTTTAGAACAGGAGTGTCAAACTCGATTTCATTGAGGGCTGCATCAAGGTTGTGTTTGACCTCGGGGGCCCCAGGTCAATGTCACTTGTGTCAGGGACTCCTGTGGTGCCTGAGTACTCTGCCAGCAAAAATAGGCTCCTGAGCTCCGTTTGCGACGGCCGCCTGCAACCCTCTGCCAGGGAAAACAGAGCTTCATTTTCACTGGCAGAGGCACTGCTGGCTGGTCCTTTGCTGTTTCCAGGGTGGCCCCCCGGGTCAGAAATAAGCACCCCATGGGCCTTGAGTTTGACACCCCGGTTTAGAAGAAGTTTTCCTTTGAATATCTGAGTAGAGTATGAATATTCCTTTACATACTCTAAAGCAAATAGAATCCTGCATTGCAGAGAAAACAGGATTAGGATCGTTAATCTGAACCCAGAACAAAGGCCCATTTTGTATAAGATCAACTCATTTAAATACTATTAATATTCCTGGTAGACCTCATTCAACAACTATCCAAAGTTACAGTGGCACAGAATGAGAAGATTTATGACCATTTTTCATAATTGAAGCCGTTGCAGTGCACCCCCGCCCCCATGGTCATGTTTTCATTATTTGGATCCTTAATTACCAGCTCACTATTACGATGTTCACAGCATCCTATGGTCATATGATCACTATTTGTGACCTTCCCTGCCAACTTCTGACAAGCAAAGTCAATGGGGAAGCTGAAACTGCAAGAATTGCCTAAGGGCTACAACTGGAGCTGTCTTTGTAAGTCAGCGCAGTCATATGACATCACACTTTACAACCACATCACTTAGTGAAGGAATTGCCTGTCCCAATTGCCATTGTTAAATGAGGACTACCTGTACATTTTGTATTGCATTATACTGCATTGTATTTATAAAGTATATAGTAATACATTTATAATAATCTATGAGCATATGAAGAGGAGAGCCAGTTTAGTCTAGTGCTGTGATGGCGAACCTATGGCACGCGAGCCACAGGCAAACTTACCTCACTGCACAGGCACACACCTCACGGCTGATTTTTGGCCTCCCAGAGGCTTGAGGAACGCCTTTGGAGGCCAAAAAATAGGCCCGTTTTATCATTTCCTGTATTTCCGTAAATACTGGAAGTGACGAAACGGGCCCATTTTTCAGCCTGCAAAGGCTGCAGAAGTTTTCCTCAAGCCTTTGGGAGGCTGAAAAAGGCCTCAAAATGGGCCGAAAATCAGCTTGGAGGCGCAGTGCAGGTGTGGGGGTGGGGATTGCGCACAAAGGGGGCAGGGATGCACATGCATTGCCTTCTGGGTGCTGGCATGCAAGCACGTGCACAGTTTTTGGCACAGGAGCCCAAAAAGGATAGCTACCACTGGTCTAGTGGTTAAGGCACCAGCGTAGAAGCCAGGAGATTGTGTGTTCTACTTCTGCCTTGGGCATGATGGCTAGGTGCTTTAAGCCAGTCACTCTCCCAGCCCAACTCACTTCATAGAGTTGTTTTGGGAAAAATATGAAGAGGAAAAAGTATTGGTATGAACTGTATATGAAAAAAGGATAAAAATCTTTAAAAAAAGATTGACTATGTCAGAAATATCTTCTCTAAGTGTTAACTGAAATAACTACTAAAGCTTGGAACTAAGATATTTGTAAGTGTAATTTGTAGAGCATTTCAATTATGACATACATGAAGGATGATGCATCTGTAGCATCCAATGTAGCAACTTTTGGGGGGAAAAGATTGGAGTTTATTCTCCTTTTTTCCATAACAGGATCTTAAGACTAACTTCCAATTCTGTTGGGTTCCAGCTGAACACAAGTTCAACCCAGTTTATGTTTTGTTTATGAGTGTCTTATACTGTTCATTGACCTTTATCAGCCTAGCAGGATAATCCATGCAAATCAACTT